ACCAAGGAGTACCAAGCCCCACATCTAGGCAATATTGTACATAGTTGAGTTCTCAACGAGACTCATGTTTCCACCCCATCAATCCCTACCCCCAGTTGCAAAGCACAAGAACGATCACGGACCCACTCTACCCAAAACTACGCAAACTACGCAAACAGCCTGCACATTAACCATCACCAAGTACACAGCACAGCTGGCACACCGAGGCAAGCTCTCACTAAACCTTAGACTATACTGCCCACCAACAGACGATAAATTCAAACTAGACCAACCCCATAATGAAAACATACTCACATAATGTTCGGGGACTAAATTCCCCCCAAAAAACGCCAAATACTGTGTACAGAACTGAAAAACCATAACGCGGATGTAGCGGAACGCCAATAATAAATCCACGAATTCCGCTGGTTCAGAAACAAATCCACAGTCAAGCGCTGAAACAACAAGGCAATATCCCCAACCTCCCAATAACCGGACGAGACACAGTTTTGAGAGTCAACTGAAATCCTTTTAATCAGCTGGACAATTTATACAAGTCCCCATGCAAGGGGTTTCCTGAGTCCCTTCCCAGGGGCACTCCCAGAGGGGACTACATGGGGGACTTACAGTACAACATATTTCCCCCATCAGGCACCGCTGCACGAGAGGGATCATCCTCCCAGAATGCACCGTTAAGGGGATTATCCCCTCGTGCAGCAGAACCGACAATTTAAACAAAAATACATAACTTGTTAAATACACGGTGGATTTACATGAATGGACGTTCGGTAGATAGCTGGGGTCTGAGCGCATCATTCGTGAGATTACCGCTCAGATCCCAGCTAAAATAACCGAATGCCGCACGAAAAACACATTTCTTCTAAAACATACAAAAAGGACCGATTGCTTTTAGTGAACAAGATCCTGAAACTCCCGAACGTCCTGGAGGCTCAGCGGTGTTCGTGCCGTCGAATAGCTATTGGTAGTACTATGCGTTCGACGACCCGGCACCGCTGAGGAACAAAGGATCCAATATGGCCGACCGCCGCATGGTCGGTAGTCGAACGACGGCCACCCTGGAGAGCCTCTAATAACCGATTGCAACAATGTTGCAATCGGTTAACTAGCGCCACACGCCTCTAAGTGTGTGGGCTATTAGGGGGTATCGCGTTCGGTTCACGAACGGCTCTCCAAAGTGCCGTTCGTGAAACGAAAGAAAATCCCCATACAAAACCGCCATTTGCATTCGGCGGAAACAGCAATTACAGGCAATGCAGAGAATACATTAAGCATACACATAAGAGTAAAGCGCATGTCTCCCCAGACCTATAGGCAACCCTTAAAGGCATAGTCTCTAGTTATAGTCCAAGTGGCTAGGTTTGCCACAGCGGATGTGATCTGCCTCCAAGAAACTCACTTCAAAAGGCAGACATCACCATCTATAGACCTCAAACAATTCCCAAACCAATACCATTCTACACATAGCCACAAATCCAGAGGAGTCAGCATTCTAATACACAAATCAGTTGCATTCGAACCACTCAAAATAGTCAAAGACACCAATGGGAGATACCTTATACTAATATGTAACCTCAATGATGTCACATACACCATAGTCAACATCTACGCACCAAACGACTATCAATGGCACTTCCTACAAAAGATACTGACTAAAGTGAGCAACATACAACAAGGCATATTAATATACTGTGGAGACCTGAATCATATCCTAGACCCCAAAATGGACACTACACTAGACGCAAAAAAAAACAGATTGACATCTCTCAGGCCGGCCTGCGCCAGACTTAACAAACTGCTAATTCAATTTAACTTATACGATGTGTGGCGCACACTGCACCCTGGAGATAAGGACTACACTTATTACTCCCAGGTGCACAAGACCCACTCCAGGATAGATAATTTTTTCGTGACCAGCACAGGACTACCACAAACACATCAATGCACACATGGCGACATAACATGGTCTGACCATGCCCCAGTGATACTGACACTCACTGACGCATTTATGTACAAAGGCAAGGGCTCATGGAGACTGAACAACTCACTGCTCCACGACCAAGAATTCACTCTCACACTAGAACATGAACTTAAACATTACTTTACTACTAACAAGGACCCCCAGATCACGGCCCCGATCCTATGGCAAGCACACAAACCAGTTATGCGGGGACTAATGATCCGCAGAGCATCATATCTCAATAAGCAAAAGCGAGCAACACTTATGAAACTGCTCATACAGCTAAGAGATACCACCCAAACTTACTACCAAACAAAACAACAGGATCTCCTGACGGAAATCCAAACCATTACCACCAAAATAAATGAACACCAATTCCAAAAAACAGCATACACTCTGAAAAAATTTAAGATGAACCACTATGCGAAAGGGAACAAAGCTAGCAAACTATTAGCCAACATGCTACGCAAAAAGCAATCTAATGCTAAGATCCCATACATTCTCACAAAAGATAACCATAAACTCTGGAACCCACAAGACATGAATAAGGAAATAAAAAAACACAAACTGTCTGAACAAATCTCGATAACTGAACTGAAAGACGCTATCACCAGACTACCTACAGGGATATCCCCAGGCCCAGACGGATTCACAAATCAATATTACAAGACCTTTGCACCTATACTCATTCCCCACATGAGACAAAATTTCAGTACATAATTCATACAGGGACAATCCCACAGGAAATGCTTACAGCCCATGTGGCCACATTGCCCAAATCAGGGAAAATGGCAGACAAAGGACAGAACCTACGCCCAATTTCACTTCTCAACACAGACGTTAAATTACTGGCGAAAATATACTCCAATAGATTAGCCACCATACATGATCTAGTGCATGAAGACCAGGTCGGCTTTGTAAAAGGAAGGCAGGACACGGACGGCACTAGGAAGGTTTTAGATATACTATACAGCTTACACAAACGAAAAACGGGATGCCTATTCATGTCACTAGATGCCGAAAAGGCTTTTGATAGGCTGAACTGGGACTTTCTCAGAGCGACCTTAGCGAAATTCGAATTCCCATCAGCGTTCATGAACACTCTACAGGCACTTTATAGCAACCCTACTGCCAGAATCACCAACGCAGGATTCTTTTCAGACCCGTTCAGAATCACGAACGGAACCAGACAGGGATGCCCCCTATCACCCCTGTTATACGTCCTAGCGCTAGAACCCCTCACGACCCTCATTAGACAACAACCATCAATCCTGGGCGTCAAAACAAAAAGCAAAGAACATAAACTCACACTATTCGCAGACGACATACTATTGACGATACAAGACCCAGAAGCCTCTCTACCACACTTCCACTCCATACTAGAAAAATACAGTAAAATGTCCTACTACAAACTGAATATATCCAAGACGCAAGTCCTGTGCAAAGGACTCCCTCCAGACATCACCCATAGACTAAAAAACACCTACACATACGACTGGAGAACCGACTACATCACATTCCTAGGTATACACTTCACAAAATCACATACCGCACTATTTAACGCCAACTACGGCAAGCTAAGTATAGAAATAAAAAAACAGCTACAAGATTGGAAAACATCATTCATATCTTGGTCAGGCCGCATAGCAGCAGTCAAAATGATAATCCTCCCCAAGTTATTATATCTATTCAGATCACTAATGATTCATATACCCTACACTTATTTTACCACAATCCAACGCTGGGTAACCAGATTTGTATGGAATGACAAAAGAGCACGAATAGCCCTAAAGGTATTGCAAATGCCATTCAAGAAGGGGGCATGAATATGCCAAATCTCAAACAGTATTACCATGCAACCATACTAAGCAGCATCATCCAAGCAAGACCAGGTACACACGCACCACAATGGAAGCACCTAGAAGCAGAATGGGCCGATAATGCTAGCACTGACAATTTAGTGTGGATACCAAAACATAAACGACCGCAATTGCAAGACTGACTACCGACCACAACATTATCACTAAAAATATGGGATGGGGCCCGACCTACCCTAACAAATGATTTGCTCATCTCCAAAGCCATGCCACTTAAGTCATTAGCGCAAATTATCCCGGATTTTAACTATAGAATATGGGAAAGACATGGCATAAAATTCCTACACCAGATAATCACTAACACGGGTCTAACGACCTTTGCCACATTGCAAGACTCCCACAAGTTACCAATAGTAGAACATTATTCATACCGCCAATTAGACTCATGGCTACGCACACAATTTCAGGAGAAAGCAATTAAAATTAAGGCACAAACGATGACGTCATTCGAGGAAATGTACACCAGCTCCACACCACCCCAGAAAATCATATCCTCTATCTACACAACACTACCCACAAAATGCAAACTGCACGAACACAACTTTATCAACGCATGGGAAAAAGAGATCCACAAAACATTCACTGAACCAGAATGGGAACGCATGATATTAACCCCCAAAACCTTTTCTTTATGCTCAAAACATAAAGAGCTCGCCAAAAAACTCTTATATAGATGGTATCTCACACCCATAAGGCTACACAAATATAACCAAACTCTCCCAATACACTGCTGGAGATGCAAATCAGGCACAGGGACAATGGCACACATATGGTGGACTTGCCCACGCCTACAACAATACTGGAAAGACATAACCAAACTTATCAAAGACAGCACAGGGCGCACCTTACCTCATAATTTGGAACACTACGTGCTCTTCGACATCCCTGAGTCGTTACCCAAACCAGACAGATATCTTATCTTCCATATAAATATAGCAGCCCTGGGTGCCCTAGCACAGAACTGGCTATCACAAACAATACCCTCCATCTCCATGTGCATACAACACATAAGCCAATCTGGCCACTTCGAAACCACAATGAGACGGCAAAACACGCCTCCCAACAAACCCCATAAAAAGTACCGAAGATATTGGGAAATAGCATGGGACAAATGGGAAACATACAAAGGCGATACAACAGGGAACCACTTGCCGTGAGCTGACCTCATGACCAAATCAGGGCCCACACAAAGACCGAACCCCCATCAAAGAATACTTCATCACACAGGAATGTTAGATAAACTGATGACAAGGAGTACGACCACTCCAAACAACAAAAGAGACCATAAGGTGAACCCAACTGGTAGCTTGAATAACCCTTATGTAATCCCCGGCACATTTCAGACCCCCCCTGGGAAGACATGGCAAATATTACTACCAAAGCATTAGGTCAGGCCCTAACCCTCTCAACCAATTCACAGATATGGAAAGTACAAATACCAATTGTCAAATATTGTTCAATGGTAATATGTGCACTGCTACAGCTGTGACTCAAGAGACTGTTTGTAACAAACACCTTGTACGAACACTTCATGGAATTGCAACCTCTCCCCAACCCTACCCTCTTCTTTTTTCTGTACCCTCAAGTTTCTGATGAATGACAAAACAATAAAAATTGTCAATTTTGAAAAAAAAAAGACTATAAATGAATATCTAGACTCATGTATAGATTGTGATCTCCAAATACAGTCTTATCGTTCCTAAATAAAGCTAGGATGTTTAATCCAATAGTAACACATTTTCAATAACAACATAAGAATAAAAGGTAACGAATAAATAGCGGTTTTTCAGTAACACATCAATTAATGACACTCTGCATGGTAATACATAATCTAAAAATGCAGTGTTTTCATTCCATAGTAAGATTAGGATGTTTAATCCGATAATCACAAGTTTTCAGTACAACATTAATTTAAAGAGGAGCAGTTTGTACATAGTCTTTCAATTAGTAACACTCTGCATGTTAGTATATTCTCCTGCTGCAGTTCACCCTTCTAACGTTATGATATATCTGAGTTTCGCTCCAAAGATAGGATTTAAAACATAAAAATCCACTGTTTGATTATTTTTATTCGTTGTACTAATACATTTATATCTTTTACATTTAAATATATTCAAACTCTTTTCGATCCGAAAATTGCCATCTATGTTCCTGTAGCTGGCAATTTTCGTGTGTTCGCCTCCATGCTAAAACTAAAAAGGTGATTTATGAATTTTGTAACTATCTAAAGTCCTTTTTCTTGTTTTAAAAAAGAAACAGAAATAATGGATTCATACAAGGGATTTGCAGTTCAGTCTGAAATGAATCTCCAAGTCTGATATATACTGATCTCTAAAGAAAAACAAGGAAATACACTAGATCTGAGTAGTTACTAACTCTGATAATCATAAGTGTATCTTTCCTGGTAAAATATTTTATAAATAAATAAAGAATCATAAGTAGTTAAAAATGTTACACTTCAACATGTATTTTCTTTATTCCAGATCCCAAGAGCACGATGCAATGAAGTTTGTCATCATGGATACAGGAAGGCCCCTGGAGGAAGCTATCACAAGTGCTGCTATGACTGTGTCCCGTGTTCAGAGGGAGAAATGTCCAATGTAACAGGTATATATATATTTATTTATACATCAATATAATTGTATTTAAATGCTCCACTCAACTTACAAATGGTAAGTTACCTGTTCTTTATCTTCTATTGTATTTTTTCTTTCCCAAATAGATCAGCATGAATTCAGTTTTAATTAGATGTCTGCAGTGCTCTAAGGAGGTTACAGTATTTTCATTAGGTTTCAAAAATAGCTGGTGGCAAACCTTTTCTGATGTTGTTTCCACCTATGTTCTTCATGGGTCTCTGTTGATAGCTCCATCTTGCTGATGTTTGTATTTATCACTTTCCCAATATCCCAGCAAACGCATTGTCCAAGTGCATCTCTGTGACTTGTGATAGAACATTTAGATACATCATTCTGTCTCCTTTGTTTCCCAAAAAGGTTGAACTTTCCTCATAGAGATGCATTGATTCAATGTATCTCTATGAAAAGGTGGTAACTGGCCAGGGCAGCATTTGGTTCTGCCTCCCCCCCCTACACTCCCTCCTCCTTTCCCCCAACCCCCAATCCCTCGTTAGCCTCTTTGGCTGAGATTATCAGAATTAACAATTTCCGGTAATACATTGCTTTTCCATGGGAAAGCACTGTGATTGGCTGAGATAATTCATTCTGATAATGTAAGCCAAGGAGGTGGATTGGGGCGCTGGGCTTGCACCACATGGTGCTGAAATAAAATTTCAACAATATTAAGGAGGCTTCAGAGGCCTAAATTGCATTGTTAACACTATTTTTAAATATGTATTCCTGAGCCTATAGTGTTCTTTTAAATACAAATATACATAACACTGGAGAAATAGCAACCACAATTATTACATCAAAAATATATACATGGGAGTACTTATTTGGTTGCACTAATCTGCATGCTAACATTAGGTAAATTGACACATTTCCAATCAGCCAACAGAGGTCGCTGCAACTAAGTAAACTAAGTGCATAGTGGATAATTTGATAATGTTAATATTACAAATTAAGAAATATGATTTATTTACAACACTGTTTTCTTAAATATAACTTCATTAACTGATAAATTATTTTCAAAAGCTTTTCTGGCAAACCAAATTTTCCATTAAATAATGTGCTTTCATATTCAGAATCCCCTTAGCAATCGGTTAATATTTTGCAGTAAACGTTCACTAGCAATGGACCTCTTTATGCACAGGATACCTCATTTGTATGACCTTCATTTGTGTATTTTGTGGCCCACTGGACCGTAGGGCAGCAGGAAGTATATAGGATGCTGGAACATATAGTTTCTGGCCAGAGGAAGGGGCCAATTCACAGAGTTTTTAGAAACGCGAACTGGAAATATATTGAATCTCAGCTATGTGACATTTAAAGTCTCTGAAGGTGGAATGTTGGGTTTAAATGTCTGACTGAGATGTGTAAAGATTTTTTGTTTTTCTATATATCCCCTAAGTAGTTCAGGTTGTTTCTTGGAACCACACTTTACAGTACTCTAGTTCTTCTGGATGTTTAAAGTTTTCTTCCCTTTATTCAGCCCCAGCTGCCCAGTATTCCCCCAATGGCATCTTGTGCAACTTCTAGTAATAGATTGCACTCTAGAGAAGAAAGTTGAGTCAAATATATTTACATTTTTGTCCACCATGTATATTACATATACAAAAAAGGCATATAAAGTGATGGAGAACTTATACCTATATCACTTCAATTCATCTGATGTGACACATGCACAGAACCTGCTTTGCCAGTAAATAGGATGAGTGGAGAGTGTATTTAGTAAGCAGCAAGTCCCTGAACCTCATCTCATGATAGACTGGCTTTTATTAAGCAGACAGTAGCCAAATGTCTCAAGGAGATTTCACAAACTCATAAAAGACCTACAACTACCACAGAGCTTGGACTGAAATTTCATCAGACAAAGCAGTCATATGAGGAGAAAGAAGGTCAAATACCTGAAGGGCTACATTGTAATAACATAGGCTCCTTTATCTCCATGATAATGAATACTCTTAATATGATGGACTCAATTCCTATAGAATCTCCTACTAGTCAACACTTTTCCAGCTTATGTAAAAGATAATATATATTACCTCTTAATGATACAGTTAGAAGAATAGCAAAAAGTGGAGAAACATGTTAACTTACAAAGCAGAGTTTCTAAAATATATCCTTTAAAAATAAATCAAAGATTGTACATACTGATTTCAGACCAAAACTGGTATCATCTTTCCGCTAAACATGTGCAATTTGGACGGATTTCGGGCAATTCGGACATTTGGGAACTTCAGAATGTCAGAATAGCGAAGTGCCGAATTGCCAAAGTTGCCGAAGTTCCGAAGTGCCGAATTGTCGAAGTCCCGGATTTTGGAATGCCGAACCAAACCAAAAAATGTTCTTATGCACATGCCTACTTTCCACCTTAGCCCTCCCTGCTCTTGAATAAATTGGATTCCTGAATAAATTGGAACTTGTCAGGTGCCGAATAATTTTTCAACGATGCATTGGTCTTTCTAGGAAATCATTTAGCCTGTTTGTTATTCCTTCAGGGGAAAAAGTTTTATCTACTACCATTGGCAGGTGGTTGGTGTCAGCCATTTCTCTGGCCTACAAATTCAAAGACATCCCTCTGCATATTGTAATGAAAAAACCCTTTGAACATTGTCTCCTGGACAACCAAAATACTTGGATTATTTTTATTGCAAATTGTTTGGTAGTGAAAGAGTGTAATGGTATTTATTAATTAATGACTTTACATCATAAAGAAAGCATATTTAGTGTAATGCTTTGGGGGCACCACTAGGGGGAGTGTGTAGGAAGACATGTGCTTCTGGCAGTGACATCACAGGCCAGCCTACTTACACTGAATAAAAACCAGATGTAGGAGGAGCTTTCTCTCTTTTTGCCTGTACCTGACTGATCATGTAGTACCAGCTCTGACTTAGCCCCAGCCCTTTGGCTGGGGCCTTGTAAGTAATATGAATCCATTGTAACATTTAGCAATTGTAATAGCCTTTTGTATAATATTTAGCAACCAATAGCGTTTTGTGTAGTATTGTATTGTATCATTATTGTGGTAAATTGACATTCCGCTAGCATCTGTTTATTTATTATAGTTATATTAAATATACATTTAATATTACAACGTTTTGTGTATTTTCTATCCACATATTCAACCATAATACCATGAATTATAAAAATATTAATGTTGTTCCGTATTGCTTAATTATTATGTATTAAGAGATTAATATTCATATTTAAGTCACGACCACAACAAAGAGTTAATATGCAATACTATATATCTCCTCAGAGAGGTACCAGTTCTGGTAATATTATAAAATGGTCATTGTATGATTCAAGTGATGTTATGGTTCCTGTTATCACACATCTGGCATTCACATCTTTTGTTTTGTATTTCATTATTCAGTATTCATCATGTTGTTTTATATAATTTTCTTAATAGCAAAACAATGCAAATACCATCTTATCCCCACTAAAGCATGATTAGATAAACTGCTTACTTTGATAGAATTGCATATTTATGTAAATCAAAATTATATTAACAAGTATTGCTAATTACGTTTAATGTTTTTGTTTTGTTTTATTACAGACAGTGATAACTGCCAAACATGTCCTGACAACGAATGGCCAAATGAGAATAAAACAAAGTGCATTCCCAAAAATTATGACTTTCTGTCATATGAAAATGATAACATTACTTCAATTTTCTCTTCTATCTCTATATTATTTTCACTCATAGTTGTCTTCATATTAAGAATATTAATTATATTCTGGGAGACTCCCATTGTCAGAGCGAATAACCGGAATCTCAGCTTCGTCCTCCTGGTCTCTCTCATGCTGAGCTTCCTCTGTGTGTTTCTGTTCCTCGGTCGTCCTGTGGATATAACCTGCATGCTGCGTCAAACCTCTTTTGGGATCATCTTCTCAGTAGCTGTATCTTCTGTACTGGGCAAAACTATCATGGTTTACATTGCTTTTAAAGCTACTAAACCAGGCAGCTCATGGAGAAAGTGGGTTGGGGTCAAAGTGTCTAATATCATAGTTCTGATATGCTCATCTATCCAGATCCTGATTAATGTTCTTTGGTTGTGCATTTCCCCTCCTTATCAAGAACTGGACATGCACTCTTACCCTGGAAGGATCATCATTCAGTGTAACGAAGGCTCAGTCATTGCCTTCTACTCTGTTCTGGGTTATATGGGAGTTCTGGCAGCTGTTAGTTTTATTATTGCTTATTTTGCCAGGACATTGCCAGACAGTTTTAATGAGGCCAAGTACATCACCTTCAGCATGCTGGTGTTCTGTAGCGTGTGGATTGCAATGATCCCGGCCTATCTAGGGGCAAAAGGAAAATACATGGTGTCTGTAGAGATATTTGCCATATTAACTTCTAGTGCTGGCTTGTTAGGCTGTATATTTTTTCCTAAAAGTTATATATTACTGATAAAACCTGAGATGAATACTAAAACACATCTATTGGACAAAGACAATGCATATACATTTATATGAGATATCAATCGCATAGGCATAGTTAATCAAGGAACAGAAACAAATATAGCAAGTAGTTTAGATATACAATGAATGTGCACTCGACATTGGTTTTTTAGTGTATCTCAACATTTTTGTTGAAATGTTGTTGTTTTTTGTGCAGATAACAAAATATGTGTAAAGTTGCAATATCATGCAATATATTGCACAATATAATTGCTTGCAGCCCTGTCATCATTGCTCAATTAATGAAATCTCCATCAGGTTTGTTTACAAAAGTATGTATACCAAATGTGCCCATTCAGACTGCAATTTCTAAATTTTGTTTACTGTAATCTACAATGTCTGGAGTTTGCAAAACAAGATCTGAATGTGCATGAATTGTGTTTAGGTTTCAGTCTGTCTGAAAACAGTCAGAGAGGATAAATCCGGGCTCAGATTGTAAATGTCTAAATTATTTGCTTACTGTCTGTGGGTGGAGGCTCAATCACAATACCAAGACTGCTTTCCTTTAAATACTCCATTAAGACTAAGGAAAATCTATGCCATACTTACCAAAATTTTCTTTTCCTGGCTATGTATCATGGCAATATCACTTACTGGTAGCTTGTGAGGATATTTATGGGGAGATAAATATTACAAATAATAATTTATAAAAATTATCAAAAAATTATTTAATAATTTTTATTATATAAAACATTGATATATTGGCACTGTTCCCCTTGATTGATTTAAAATGAAGAGTTGCCCACTATTTTAACTCGTATAGACCTTAGAGTACATGTTATTATAGAATTTGTATTTCACACATTAATCACAAACTAATTATAAAAATATAATTTATGGTGACAATAATTAATAATAATATGTAACATGCATGACCATAACCAGTGAATATTTAAGTATAACGTAAGTATACAATATGGCAACAGTTTTGACACAATTACAGATAGCTCAATAGCAACAGTTATATCCATATAGATGCAATTTTCAACAAGATTTACTACTGAAAGTTTCAGTTTTGCTAGACATTCCTTAACACAGAACATAGCATCTCACTGCAGAACAGCAGTCTTGCTGTCAGTTTGAATAGTTTGAATTAACTCACTCACTGCTGGCTACAATTCTCACAGGAAAAACACCTTTAATATTACAATTAACAAGTACAATATTTCTCACAATATAAATCAGTTTAATATCCCTTCCAAGAAGTGACTAAAAAAATAATTGAACCAAAATTTTACATTGCAGATGATTAATTTTCCTGATTAAACATTAACTATCCCTATATTCAGATAAGTCAATATCTCTGGATAATTTTCCACCTGCAAGAATGGAATGTGGGACCCTATATTTCCTCAGCTAATTATTATTATTTTTTAAATTAAACCTGACCAGCTCTTTTCCAGATATATTCCTGTTTTAACTAACATAAGTAGAGTTGAGCGAAACCGGACTGTAAAGTTCAGCTTCGTACCGAACATTACGTTTTTTGGACCCCGGACACGAACACGGACATATCACTGTTTGTTCGGGTTGGAGTTCAGTGTTCGGCGATTTAATGGCTCGTTTTGAAAGGCTGCAGGGCAGCCAATCAATAAGCGTTTGACTCGTGTGCGCTTAGAAGCCATCACAGCCATGCCTACTAATGGCATGGCTGTGATTGGCCAGTGCAGCATGTGACCCAGTCTCTATCTATAAGCTGGAGTCACGTAGCGCAGCACGCACATGAGCTCTTATTAGTGTAGGGAGAGGATGCTGCAGCTGTTAGGGACAGATTTGGAAATAATTCTGCAAACTAGTACATTAGTGGGGTGCACTTCATATCTGAGAGTCAAATAGAAGCGTCAAATACTGCGGTTACATCGGAGTTTTAAAAAGTCAAATTTTTTTGGTGCTAAAAAGTACATTAGTGGGGTGCTCTTCATATCTGAGAGTCAAATAAAAGCATCAAATACTGCGGTTACAGTGCAATTGTAAACATTCTTATTTCTGGGTGCTAATCTGCTAAACAGTAAATTTGGGGTGTGCTCTCCATATCTGAGAGTCAAATAGAAGCGTCAAATAGTGCGGTTACAGCACAATTGTAAACATTCTTATTTTCTGCGTGCTAATCTGCTAAATAGTACATTTGGGGCATGCTCTTCATATCTGAGAGTCAAATAGAAGCGTAAAATAATAAGCGCAGTTTGAAACATTCTCATTTTCTGGGTGCTAATCTGCTTAATAGTAAATTTGGGGCGTGCTCTTCACATCTGAGAGTCAAATAGAAGCGTCAAATAGTGCGGTTACAGCACAATTGTAAACATTCTTATTTTCTGGGTGCTAATCTGCTTTAATAGTAAATTTGGGGTGTGCTCTTCACATCTGAGAGTCAAATAGAACCGTCAAATAGTGCTGTGACATAGCATTTTTAAACATTCAATTTTTTGGGGCTGCTAAATAGTACATTTGCGGCCTGCGGTGCACTTCATATCTGAGAGTCAAATAGAACCGTCAAATATGGTGCTTACATTGCAGTTGTAAAAATTCAAATTCTTTCGGTGCTAAATGTCAATTTGATGCCTGCACTTCATATCTGAGAGTCAAATAGAAGTGTCAAATAGTGCGGTTACAGCGCAATTGTAAACATTCTTTTCTGGGTGCTAATCTGCTAAATAGTAAATTTGGGGCATGCTCTTCATGTTTGAGAGTCAAATAGAAGCGTCAAATACTGTGTTTACAGCGCACTTTGACAAATTCCCATTTTTTTGTTCATAAGAAGTAAATTTAGGGTGTGCACTTCATATCTGACAGTCAAATAGAACCGTCAGATACTGTGGCTGCAGCGCAGTTTGACCAATTCAAATGTTTTTGGGTGCTAAATAGTACATTTGCGGCCTGCACTTCATATCTGACAGTGAAATAGAACCGTCAAATACCAAAATAACAATATTGTAATTCGGGGGGCAATACCCTCACAAGTCAAACTGAGAGGTCAGTTTATAGGGAAAACTGTTGCCTGAATACAATTCTAAAACAATTTTCATATGTCCTTTGCAGACTTTACACACTGGAAAAACACAGGTGCCAACTGCTGTGGCTTTCTGCAGTGTGCAAACCGGCAAGGAGGGCAGGGTTGAGGAGTGGGTGGTAGATGGTGTGGAGGATGATGAGGTCCTAGACCCCACATGGAATCAAGGTCACGCGAGTGAGGTGTGCAGTTTGGAGGAAGAGGCGCTGGTCGCACAGAGGCACCAGCACAGCATAGGAGGGAGCAGGGTGCAAAAGCGGAGCGACCGTCCTCTAGCGCTCGTCGGCATGTATTATCTTTAGAATTCCCACAGTTATTCAAGTAACAGTTGAAGCAATAAAAAGAACCATAACAGATTTAACGAGCCATTCGCGGTTTCGCAGTCCGGTGACCGGGATCCAGACACTGTCTGGGCAGCGGTTGGACGACCGGGACCCAGTATGCCTGATGTTGAAGTTAGGAGTCACAGTGTGGAATGGATTAGCAGGGTCTGGTGCAGAGTAACCACACGCCCCTTGGTGTTGAGTACCAGCGTTTGTGCGGCCACATACCAGGACCCTGATGCAGCTTCAGTAAAAAGAGTACTGGATACCAGAAGACATCACCAGACTGATCCGCAACTTGGAACAGGATGTGACATTCACTGTAGTGGCTGTGCACGCTTTCAGTGTTCTCACCCTGCTGCTGCTCGCCTGTCTGCGCTGCAGCGTAACTTTGGCCTTCCAGCTCACCGCCTCATATGTGACGTGCCCACAAGGTGGAACTCCACCTTGCACATGCTGGAGAGACTGTGCGAGCAGCAGCAGGCGATAGTGGAGTTTCAGCTGCAGCACGCACGGGTCAGTCGCACCAGACTTGCCCTCCAATTGATCAGAATTAAAAGATTTCAAGTGGACTCACTACAATTACAGGGCCTCTAAAGAGTCCTGTATTGTTATTTGTCGTCACTACCTACCCACGTCGGGAGTGAGTCATTTGGGCGCCCGCTGCCTTCCTTGCATGTGGTAGCCATTTCTCAGGCTCCCTCTCTGGAATTGAACCCTGATTCCCCATTACCCATGGTCAACATGGTAGGCGCAGTAAATGGCATCGAAAGTTGATATGGATGACATACGAATGCGTCGTTGCCTTGTCGTTGGGGAGCCCATTGAAAAAGTGCTCTAGCATGACGAGCTGGGTGATCTCCTCCGGGAACTTGGCTTGATGGGAGTTGAGCTAGTTCTGAGTGGCCCTTGTGATGCAGCATGCCCACTCCGCATGGGAGTCCTTCTCCCCTTTCCGGGTCTCCCTAAACTTTCAGCGGTATTGCTCGGGGGTGACCAGGAGGATTTGGGTAACCTCATCTGCTCTTCTGGTACAGGCCGGTAAATATCTGCTGCCTTCCCCACTAGTTTGCTTGCAAGGATGGTGACCCAGTCGCTGGGGTCCACGTCTTGGAGAAGGCACTGGCGCTCAAAGTCTTGTAAAAAGTCATCGATGCCTTCTTCTGCTTCCTTGAACTCTTTGAAGGCATTGTATGGTAGCTTGTGGGCCAGGGTGGTTGTGCTTCCTGGCGCCCTCTGCTCCCTTCTTCCTTCATTTGGGTTCATGGAGGTCGCCCTCTGTCTATTGACAAGGACATAGGCTTGCACCTCCAAAAAGGTCCTGCTGACAATCTCCTCTGAGGGTGGCTCTCAGTAATATGCCAGGTGCCGTTACACCTCCTTGTGCACTTCCTCCTCATCTCCGGCCCCTGGCTGGGGTTTGTTGCCTCACTGCGTGCCTGGTCATCCTCCATGAGCGCAGCAGTCAATTTGGCCTTGTTATGCCCAGCAGGCGTTATCCCTCTGGCTCCACACAAGTCCTGCAGTGTAGGTCACTTTAGAGCACTGTAGTCCATGGGTCTGTTGGCAGGGACATGGGATTTCCCTGCTTGCCACCAATTAAAGCAGGACCTGAAGCTCAGTGGCAACAACCACTCATCGGTCTGTTGTTCCATGCCCATCCACAGCTCCTGCACGGTGTGGGGTTTTTCCCCCAAACATATGAGTTTTAAAACAGCCTGCTGTCGTTTCCCCCTGGCTGTGCTGAAGTTGGTGGTGAAGGTGTTATGCTGACCAGATGAGGAAGTGGTAGAGGAGGATGAAGTGGAGTAGGAAGAGGAGGCAACAGGAGGCAAAGCTGTGAACCCAAATAAAGATTGTCAAACGTTGTATCCTGGAACTGTGTCCTATCCGGTTACTGGGGAAATGGGTCTGACCTATTCTAATCAAAGGGGATAACCACCGTGCAGGAGCTGTGGACGGGCATGGAACAACAGACCGATGAGTGGTTGTTGCCACTGAGCCTCAAGCTCGGCCTGGTGGTGTGCGATAATGGGCGAAATCTCGTAGCAGCTTTGGGCCTCGTCGGTTTGACGCACATCCCTTGCCTGGCGCATGTGCTGAATTTGGTGGTGCAGAAATTCCTGAAAAACTACCCAGATATATCAGAGCTGCTGCAGAAAGTGCGGGACGTCTGTGTGCGCTTTTGGCGTTCTCACCCTGCTGCTGCTTGCCTGTCTGCGCTGCAGTGTAACTTCGGCCTTCCCGCTCACCGCCTCATGAGACTGTGCGAGCAGCAGCAGGCGATAGTGGAGTTTCAGCTGCAGCACGCATGGGTCAGTCGCTCTGCGGAACAGAGTTTTCTTTTTTTAAATGTCCCATATTTTGGAGGCTACCCCAATTAAAAAATATATATTTATGTTACGGTTGCCTCCAAGCTGGCTGGAAGTTGGATCGCTTGGATATCCTGGTTCCCGAACTTGGAGAGATGGAGAGCCGCTTAAATCAGCATAAAGTAGTAATTCCTGGAAATGTAGAACATCCCACTAGCTATAGCACAGCTAGGATACACTTTTCCCTACAACAAGAGTCGAGGCTGCGAGTTGAGGGTAAAACGAACTGATTTAATGACACTCATGCATGGCAATTTATGCAGTTACCAGGCCAGGGGACAGCCCCCCTCTGGACCTGATGGAACACTGGACAATACAATGTCCCAACCAATAAGAACAAAGTGCATTCTTTGAAACACTCCCCCCTACCTTGGAGATAATTGATCCCAATGGCTACATTAACCTAATTATCTCCAAGGACATTAAAAATGCCACATTTTATTATACACACTAAAACAGCATAAAAATATATAACTTTTACATTTAAACATCAAAATATCCCATTCAACCATTTACTGGATAGCTCAGATCTGAACGCACAAAATATACGAATGGTGTGCAAAAGTCACGAAAGCAAAGTCTGTTCGTATGGGTTTTGTACGAATGGATGGGATAACCGGCACTTCAGCGGGATTCATATAAATCAGTAATTATAGTTCCAGGAGTTTTAGCTCTAGGCCCCGCTGAGCATTCTACGACACAAAGATGGCCGCCACCTCTAGTTCGACATATGAACGGCAACCACCTTGGAATAGGTACTTAGAGTGCGTTTAACTTCAAAAACCACAGCTTAATTAATGACACACGGCAATATCTAGGTGGTCGTTGTTCGACAGTTCTTTCGTGCGGTGGTTCGGTACTTTGTTCGGGTACTTTGATACGAATGGTGGCCATCCTGATGCCAGCCAATTAGGCTGCGATTAACCACAAACCGCAGCTCCCAGGAGGTTAATTGTCAGCACACTCCTGGGGTAGGATGATCCGCTGTTCATAGGTTCTATCGGTGGTTTCGAAGTCAATGAGGTTAACTAGCAGCACACGCCAAGAGCTTGGTGGTCGGTCATTCGTACATACGAATGACTGGCAGAATGGGTTCGCATAACACAAAATATCAAAGTGCAACAAAAGTATCTGTATGAATCCGACAGAGGGATTGTAACAATATATAAAAAACAGTGTTGGCTACCTCCTCCTCCTCCACCGCCGCTTCCACATACACCAGCACGGTAACCGCCTCCTCTGCCTATGGGTCACTTAGTATAAACTATGTACACAATAGCAGAAGCTTGTGAAGGCCTTTTTTCCATGCATCAGAAGTTGAGCATTTCTCCATGCATTAGAACTGCAAGAAATGCACCGCAGGCCGCAAATGTTTATTTTTTTTATATATCCCCAAATTTTGGGGGCTACCCCAATTAAAATATATATATATATATATATATATATATATATATAAAAAACAGTGTTGGCTACCTCCTCCTCCACCGCTGATTCCAACTATACCGCCACGGTCACCGCCTCCTCAACCTATGGGTCATTTAGTATAAACTATGTACACAATAGCAGAGGCTTGTGAAGGCCTTTTCTCCGTGCATCAGGAGTTGAGCATTTTTCCATGCATCAGGACTGCAAGAAATGCACAGCAGGCCACAAATGTTTCTTTTGTTATATGTCCCAATATTTTGGGTGCTACCCCAATTAAAAATATATATAAAAAACAGTGTTGGCTACATCCTCCTCTTCCACTGCCGCTTCCACCTACACTGCCTCCTCAACCTATGGGTCACTTAGTATAAACTATGTACACAATAGCAGAGGCTTGTGAAGGCCTTTTCTCCATGCATCAGGAGTTGAGCTCGGTTTGAACAAAGAAAGAGAATACCCTGCACTCCAACCCTCTCTCAAATGGATAATTCTGTTGATCCTCCTGACAGCCATGCTTTAGATTTTGATTTATGTTCTTCCAAAGCTAAAATCGAAGATTCAATTTAGTTCTATTTTATGGCTGAGCTGTATTTTTATGTTACTTTAAGTGCTTTCCTTATCCACATTTGTTTGCAGGGCACTTGTCCTACTCTTACCCCCATTTTATTTCCTTTTGCAGCCCTCTAGCCCTTTCCAGGACTTTTTTAGAGACATTTTTGTGCCCAAAAGTTCGGGTCCCCATTGACTTCAATGGGGTTCGGATTCAGGGTCAAGTTCGGGATCAAGTTCGATCCCGAACCCGGACTTTTTTTCAAAGTTCGGCCGGACCCGCCAGACCCGCCGGACCCGAACATCCAGGTGTCCGCTCAACTCTAAACATAAGTCATTAACAGTCTTTGTCCAATACAGAGCAATGTTCCAGATGTTATCCATTTTTGATGTTAAAGGTATTGGCCACAAAATCTAAGCTACATTCAGTTTTATAGGTTTCAAATTCAGTTACAAAGGGGCGTATACATAAGGTTGCCTACTTTAAATTAAGAAAGAGGGGAGTGACTTAGCATCATTTGAAATCTATGAATAGCTGACCACTCTAGCCAATCAGCAACACCCCTACCCAACAGCACTCTGTGCTTCCTGACACTCAGTAAATAAAAGACACATTAACACTGAGATTTTTTTTACCTGGGATGATGACAAGGTCCAAACTTTCCCTGCCAGGTCCAGGTTCCAAAGCCTTATGAGCGGTGTCCAGAATGAAGTGGAGGGATACCTTCACTTGCCCTTCTTGCTCCAATCTCCTTTTCTTCTTCTTCATTTGACACAGTCTTCTTATTCTTCTGACACTGTCTTCTCTCCTCCTTGGCTTCTTCTGCTCCTTTACATTTCTGCTTCTTTTGCGCCATTCTGCTCCTTTCTCTTTCTGATCCCTTCCTGCTCCTCGCAGACCCTTTCTGCTCCTTCTCCTACTTTACCTCTGTGCTCCTGCTGCCCCTTCCAGCCCCTTGCTGCCCCTTTCTGCTCCTTGCTGTCCCTTTCTGCTCATTTCTGTTCCTTCTCCTCCCTGCTCCTTCTCCTACTTTACCTTCTTAATCCTTGCTACCCTTTCTGCTCCTTGTTGTTCCTTTCTGCTACTTCTCCTACTTTACCTTTGTGCTCCTTCTGATTCTTTCTGCTCCTTTACCTTCCTGCTCCTTCTGTCCCTTTCTGCTCCTTTCAGATCCTTCTGATTCATTTCTATTCCTTTCTGCTCCTTTTCCTACGTTACCTTTCTACTCCTTGCTGCCCTTTCTATCTCCTTGCTGGCCCTTTCTGCTCCTTCTTCTACTTTACCTTTGTGCTCTTTCTGATTCGTTTTACCCCTTTACCTTTGTGCTCCTTCTGTCCCTTCCTGTCCCTTTCTGCTCCTTGCTGACTATTTCTGCTACTTGTAGACCCTTACTTCTCCTTGCAGACCCTTCCTGCTCCTTGCTGCCCTTTCTGATTCTAGGACATCCTTCCTGCTTCTTGCTGACCCTTCCTGCTCCTTGCTGCCCCTTCTTTCTCATTGCTGTCTCTTCCTGCTCATTTCTGTTCCTTTCTGCTCCTTCTCCTACTTTACATCTGTGCTCCTTCTGCCCCTTCCAGCTCCTCGCTGCCCCTTGCTGCTCCTTGCTGCACTTTCCAGCTCCTTGCTGCTCTTTGTCCTACTCTACCTTTGTGCTCCTTCTGATTCTTTCTGCTCCTTTAGATTTGTGCTCCTTCTGTCCCTTTCTGACCATTGCTGACTCTTAATTCTCCCTCCCCCCATCCCTCACTTACCTGATCTGTAGGCTGCCCCCCATTCCCAACTTACCTGATCTGTAGGCTGCCCCCCATCTCTCACTTACCTGATCTGTAGGCTGTCTCCTCCATCTCTCACCCATCTGATCTGTAGGCTGCCCCCCCAACCCTCACATATCTGTAAGCTACCCCCTCCCCCCATCTCTCACTTACCTGATCTGTAGGCTGCGCCCCCATCCCTCTCTTATCTGATCTGTAGGCTGTCTCTGCAGTCTGGGAGTTGCTGGCTGCACTCTGTTCTGCTCCACTGCGGATTCAGTCAAGAGAGAGAAGCAGGGATAAGATGTAGCATCCATTCACTGGCCGGCGCCGGTATTGCACTGTATTTTCAATCTCACACGCAAAATAGCAAAGCAAGCTGAAAAATCAGTGCCCCTCCTGCGGACGCCCATGGTATGAGATAGAGAATTGTGGAAATAGTTTTGAGGTTCAATATATTAATATTGTGTTTGCTTCCAAAATATGTTTGCTTCCAAAAATAATTTTAGGGAGTTCTTGTCAGGATTACTAAGTGATACAGCACACATAACCAGACCTTAGAATGGCCGAACTTAACGTGTCCAAGAGTAGTCAAAATACTTGCCGAGATCAAAGAAACAGAATGTTACAATATAACCCGGTGTAGTGAGGGTTAATACTGATTAAGGGATTCACTTTTACAAGGGAACAGCAGCTCACGAACACTCAAACCCACCGAACGGGAAACATATGAAATCCTTCTCTCCTGGAACAGGCAAAAGAAGACTCCACAGTGGCAATCCCCCCAATTACAAGACCAAGCTCCGTATTTAGGGCAAAACAGGATTCTGGTTTATTGAGGGCTACCTGCCCAGTATTTATGCAGGTCTCCCACCTGGTGGACACTCCCCTAGGGGACCAGATGAAAGACTATGACACAGGACAGACAAGGACAGACAAGTACCAATGACAGACATACAGTGGTAAAACATTCCCACAATGCATCACAATTCCCTCCTCTCTATCCGGGATATAATTGGGAAGTAATCCAATTATCTCCCAGGACAGAGGCAAATCCCCATTATACACGTGGTGACTACAGGACAATAAAATACAATAAAATATACAATGTCTCAAATGATGCATAAAACCTATACATGTAACACATCCCCAGATAGCTTAGGTCTGAGTGCACATTATTACTGAATGGCGCTCAGACCACACACATACAGTTCAATTGCCAGTCTTTTATTACACAAATAGGCTCCATGGCATAGCTATCTGGGTGAAACATTCACTAAATACAAAGTCCTGATTGGTCCGGCGTTCAGCAATATGACCGGAGCTAGAAGCAGGGAAGGCTGGCAGCTCAGCGGTGTTCGCGAGTAATAGTGTCCGCTTTTAGTTCACTGAGGCTGGCTGTCCGGGAGCTGTAGAATGCCGCCATCGTGCAGCCGCCATGTCTAACTGCGACCACTCGGTAACAGTCAATTAAGCTGCGGTTAACCGCAGCCACTGGGTGGTCAATTGACGGCACACGCTAGCTACGGGGAGGTCAATTGGCGGCACACGCCAGCTTCCCGGTGGTGGCGTCTTCGTGCGTCTTTCAGGAAATAACAAGGGAACACACAGGGACTGTACGGGCAAGGAAATAACTGAACAAACAGACGAACGGAAGGAGAATATCCACAATCCACAGACAGACAGTTCTTTAACACGGCTCCCTCCTTGTGAGACACTCCGTCAGACCCGGTTTGACCCTTGCGGGTCAACTTGGGTATGACCGGACTAGGAGGCCGGAGTGGTGTCTGTTTGCCAGGGACAACCCATCGGCATTGCCGTTGTGCTTACCGGGTCAGTAGCTGATGATAAAGTTATATGGCTGCAGGGCTAGGCTCCAACGTAGCAAGCTGCCATTGTCCCCGCCAGACCAATGGGTTGTGGTCAGTCACAAGGGAAAATTCACTTCTCGAGGTAATAAATTTCTGCTTAAGTATGCGACAGGGTGCTCTCCTCCATCCTCCCTGACTTGGCTCAGCACAGCCCTCAGTCCATACATGGAAGCATCTGTATGGATGAGAAAACATTTGTTAGGGACTGGGGCAGCCAAGACAGGGGCATTCATAAGAGCCTGCTTCAGTGCCTGTAACATGGCTTCACAAGCTGGAGACCACAGGACCTGCTTAGGTAGGTTCAGTCAGGGGCTTGGCAATAGTACTGTAGTCAGGGACAAAATGTCAGTAGTACCCTGCCGTCCCCAAGAAGGCTAGTACTTGGGTCTTAGTGATAGGTGTGGGCCAGTTAGCCACTGCCTCTAACTTGGCTGGCTCTGGTCTCTGGCTCCCACACCCCACTCTGTGACCCAGGTACTGCACTTCAGCCATGCCTAGATGGCACTTGTCTGTCTTCAAGGTCAGTCCAGGGGCCCGAATCTTGTCCAGAACTACCCCTACATGAACCAGGTGTTCCTCCCAAGACTCACTGTAGACCACAATGTCATCCAGGTAGGCACAAGCAAATTCCTGGAAGCCATCAAGCTGTCTATCCACCATACGCTGGAAGGTAGCCGGGGCATTTTTCATCCTGAATGGCATGACTCTAAATTGGTACAGGCCAAACGGGGTGACAAATGCCGACTTGGGTATAGCATCCTCGGCCAGGGGAATCTACCAATAGCCCTTACACAGGTCTATGGTAGTCAGATAGCGCCCCCTAGTGATACGGTCTAGTAATTCGTCTACCCGGGGCATCGGGTAGGCGTCAGTGGTGGTCCTTGTTGAACCGCCTGTAGTCCACACAGAACCCGGTGGTCCCATCTTTCTTAGGCACCAGGACTACAGGCAAGCCCAATGGCTATCAGAGTGTTCGATGACCCCAAGCTGGGTCATCTCCTGTCTCTCCTTCCGCATTCCTTCTCGGACTGCTTTAGGGATACGGTAGGGGGGCTGTCGCAGGGGGTTCTGTCAAGGGGTCTCTACCTTATGTATAGCTAGGGTAGTATAACCAGGCTCTTCTCCCACATAAACTGCCTTGCCTGTACCTTCTCTGTGGGGCTTAACCGGTCCCCTAGCTGTACAAGACTAGTAAGGTCAGTCTGGGGGTCCCTCTCTAATAAATTGGGAAGGGGTAAGTTCTCAGGGTCATCTGCAGCAGGGGTACACACTGCAGCAACATCCTCCGGTCTCTCCTGATACTCCTTCAGCATGTTCACATGAAAGGATCGCTGGATCCTTTCATCTGCACAGCTGGCTATAATATAGGTAGTATCACATACCTGGGCTAACACTTTATACGGGCACTGCCAAGAGGCTTGCATCTTATATGTCTTCACAAGTTTGAGCAAGACCTTCTACTCAACCTGGAAGACCCGCTGCTGGGCACGCCGATCGTACCATCTTTTCTGTCTCCCCTGGGCCGCCTGGAGATTCTCTCTTACCATCAGAGACAGTTTCTCCATGTGGTCCCGGAGTTCCACAACATATGGCACTATGAGGGTCCCCTCCTGCTCTGTCTCTCCCTCCCAGTGTCCTCTGATGAGATTTAGGGGTCGGCGGACCCTTCTCCCATAGAGTAACTCGAAGAGAGAGAACCCAGTAGATTCCTGGGCACCTCTCTGTAAGCAAATAACAGATGAGGAAGGAATCTCTCCCAGTATCTGCAAGTGTCAGTAAAGGTCCTCAGCGTCTGCTTGAGGGTCCCATTAAAGTGCTCGCAGAGATCGTTAGTCTGCGGGTGATAAGGTGAACTAAGCAGTGGTTTAATGCCGCACACCTTCCACAGCTGCTGGGTGAGCACAGCGGTAAACTGAGTTCCCTGGTCGGAGAGAATCTCCTTAGGGAACCCTACCCTAGTAAAAAGCTTAACCAGGGCATCAGCAACTGTCTCTGCCTCAATATTAGACAGCGCTACTGTCTACTGATAACGGGTGGCATAGTCCACCACGGTGAGAATGTATTTCTTCCGGATGGACTAGCAGTGGACGTACAATGTCAACGGCTATGCAGGAAAAGGGCTCCCCAATGATAGGCATAGACATAAGCCTGTAGAAAAAAGATTATTAAATAAAATTGCAATGAGAGGCACTTTCCATCCACTTACATCATCAACGAATTAGAGAGTGAGAGATATACTTCCCTACTCTTATTTTTCATCTTGGAGTGAACACAAGAGAACTGGAATTTTTGGGGGGGAGGAGTGAAGGGGCATCTGATATTTTGCTCCTATAGGAAATTGAGATGTATATTGTGGTCTGCCTGTGAATGACAATGACTACATCACTTTCTGTCTTATGATGTGAGAGAAGTCTCACGAAACGTGTAAGGACGACATTAAGGACGACACTACATTGCTTTCCGGCATCTACCGCAAAAATTGCCGAGTTACATCTGGAACGCAGAAGGGGAGATCGGTGAAACGCACGCGGCTTGAGGATAACTCATCCATTCATCCGTCTGACGACCGGACAGCACATTTCCATCAGCTGCTTACACCTTTCTCCTGATTCCAACCCAGCAAATTATTTTACACAGTGTGAGTGCATCTTTTGCATTTTATTTTAAGTTTATCTTATAATAAATTATTTTTTATACATCAGCACTTGGATTCTACAACTTTATTTCCTATCATTAGGAGTAAAGTGCCATTAAAACTAAGGGCCATTCATCATAGCCTGTTAGTTATATTTCTTTTTCTGTTATAAGGTACAACATTTCAATTATAAGGACCGTATACATTGTAATATTGTACTATAACAAATAACTAATTCAGTATCCAGATCCCAGTTCGCTAATAACTGGAGTGAACTGAATTAGCTAACATATAAAGACTATAAAAGACTGTTACAAATTGGACTTTAAAGTTTCTTTTCAGTGAAAGCCTAATATTGGATACTACTGTTTCATTTTATTGAACAATTGATTGCAATTTTAATACATAAATACTGTATAAATATCAATCTAAAGGTACACACAACAAACTACTCCTGGAT